TATATTCATTTTTGTGATTTCTTATTTAAGATCTTTAAAATATGTTTTAAATACTTACACCGCTTTCTAATGAAGATAACCAGGATTATGATTACAGCAAGCAAAAGAAGAAATGCTACTCCAATAATTGCAAGGTATTCAATGGGCACTGTTTTGTTGACGCCAGTATCAGTGGTAACAGTGTTGTTTATTTTATTCTTGTCTTCTCTATGAAAATGAAAATATTTATTTTAAAAAAATCAGCAGTGAATCTCACCTCAATTATATTATATAAATCAATAATCACTTGATCTCTTCCATTTTTATTAAGGAACTTATAATATTTTTGAATATATCATAAACATCTTTATAAGTAAGGGTCTGACATATAGGACTGGGGATGGTATTAGCTTGTGTATTTCTGTAACAGACAATGACTTTAGATTGCATACGTGAACGAATTTGTTTCTCATTTAGTAAAGATAAAAATAACAGTTTTTTACCAGACAAATTTAAAAATTATTTTTATTTAGTAAAATCAAAGGGAGATAACTCGTCAAGGGCAGGAAAAGGTCTTAAATAAGGACATGTCCCACTCTTACATTCTGATACCTTAAGGTTTGATCCAATTAAAAAACACACATTAAGATTGACTATAACCTTTGAACAACTATAACTATGGCTTCCATATTTCACAGGTGCATTTCTTGTGCATGTCATCCTCTGGATACCAACAATTTAGACCTTGACCCTGGAGTTTGACTTGCATTTGAGAAACTTCAACTTTCGCCATAAGCTGGCTCACAGCGGCATACATGTGTATCAGTGTTTTAAAAACGCATAATGTTTGTACTTGCTCATTTTTTATTTATAGATCTTAATTAATTTTGCCTTCCATAATATACTAGTAAATTTTTGAAGAGAAACACCCAGAACGAGTTAAAGAGCTATGTATATAATTTTATTTGTGATCAAAACAATACTGACCCAATATAATCCGCATTAATGGGTCAAGAAATTCAGTTTTGACATGTTCTAACTTTATTTACAACCAAATAAAGAAAAGTAATAAATTACACTAATCATGTTCAAAAAATCTGCCATTTTTTCTACTTTAATTGATGAAGATCATGCAAAATTTTATCAATAGTTATATCATACTTCTAATCTTAGGGGTAAGACCTTTACCTAAGTGCGTTTCTTAAAAGTGCATTGTTCCTTGAGACGAAGAAACTCTATAATCATTCTTTAGAAAATAAGAAAGTAAACTTACATTTTTTGTGTGTTCAAACGACAGCCCTTCTCTAACAATAAAAAAAAACATTAAATCATGCAATTTTATCATTTGCAAACTCAGAGCCCTTATAAAATCAAATTGAAGAAGACTGAATTGTATCTTTAAATCCACATAAAGTTCACTTTTATGATAACATATTTGCACATTATGGCAGCCTTTTATGACAACAGTTTAAACAAATAAAAATGTTTACGTTACACGGGTTGTAACTGCAGTCCTAACTGTAAATCTCAAAGAATGTCGAAACGCATGGGTTTTCACATACATACACTTGCCCTAAATGCTTTAACTTTAACATTCTCTTTAGTTTGCAAACACTACATACTTACTTATATAAGCATAATTCGATCTGTAATTTTCTGATGGACAGTTATCTGTTTTGCAGAAAACAGAATCCAGCTTTTTGGCCCCAGAATTATAAACAGGACATCTACCTATATATCATATCAAAACGAAACTACAAAGTTAAATATTTACGGTTTGAAAGGTAATTATCATTGATTCACCTTGAGAAATCGAAACCGTAAAAGAAAAGTAACAATGAAAAATATAACTTTTTTCTTTGTCGTCTCAAACTAGCAAATGATAAATCAATATAATTCATTAACCTTTTTCAACCCATATTGGTTCTGTGCATATCCATCCAATATGGTCGTATTCGTCTTGTAAACAATGGAAATTCTCCGAAGGACTACAAGCCGATATTGCTGATTTCTCCCAGTCTTCATATGGACACTTTCTTAAACTTTTGTTCAACATTTCAAGTACTTGTTACTTGCATGGTGCAGTTTATCTCCTTAAATAATTTAAAATAAGCATTTTAAATACATCATGACATTTAGACTGAATTATAAATGACGCATTTAAATGTCGCCATTTTTTTTCAAGCATTAATTTTACCTGTAAAATGAATACAAAATTATTCAATAAATCGAGTATTATTCCACAAGCTTTGCTTCGATTCAGTGTGAAAAACTTACCCATTTTAAAGGAAGAGGGTTCTATAGAACTGTTCCATTTGTCAACAACAAGAAAAAGGTTGGTTAGATCCTTAATTCAACATGGCATATGTTTATTGAATTTAGTGCATCAATTTTTTCCGCACAACGTTGCAATGCGGCAAACTCAAAATACCAATAACAAAGACCGGTTTAAAGACCCAATGTTTTTACCGCACGGTTACCTGAGGCGGGGGACTGGTCTAAGATTTAACGGAGAGCCCCATCCAATACCCAAGATGTCAACAATCTATATACACGAAGCAGTACACAAAAAGTCTGTATTTGGAAACCAGGGTCAACATTCCGTGTCTAATTTTGAGTGAAACTACTTGAAATAATTGAAATATTTCAATGTAAAATTTATTCAATATAAACACTTTCATGGATATCTATTCAAGAAAAAAATATAATGAAATTACGTTTTTATAATTAAAAAAAAAAGAGTAAAATTAAAGAAAACAGATTAAAACTTCAAAGTAACTATATCTTTTTTTTATTAAGTGTGAATATAAAAAATTATTCTTTTTACCTTTTTTTAATATATATATATATATATATATATATATATATATATATATATATATATATATATATATATATATATATATATATATATATATATATATATATAAATATATAAAAGTAAAAATCCAAAAATATCACAAAACATTTACTGCAAGCGCTTTCGCCATGTTCGGCTCTTCAGGCAGTTATACAAATGTCAGGTAGGTTACCTGGTAACGTCAAAAGCATAAAGTTCATTGTGACGTCATAATAGATGTACGTAGCGTTAAGTTGGCGTAATTGTTAATGTACAAATCTTGCACTAACTTTCACACATTATACAAATGAAATTTCAAAATATAAAATATACAGTATCATTTGCGATTAAGTTTGGGTTTAAAGAGGTTGATAAAATAGTCTTCTTTTGCGAAACGTAAATTTTCGTTTTCATTTGGAAGTTTATAAAAACGAGGACAAAAAGTAATATATCTAAGTCCCAACAAAATGCAATACAGGATCTACGGAATGATTCATCCATAATCATAAAAGAAGCTGATAAAGGAGGCGCTGTTATTATTATGGACAAACCCCATTATAAGGAAATGGTACTGAACGAACTTCAGAACTGTCGGTTTTATAGAAAATTAACAGCCAACGAAGATCGTCACACAATGCTCAAGGTTGAGAAATTAACTAAAAAATATGCCGACAATTTAACAAAAAATGAAATTGATTTCTTAACTAACTTTGAATTGAAATCCAGTAATTTCTACGGATTACCAAAAGTCCACAAATCTAAGGAGATCCAGGAAGCTGTAAAAAATTGTGATGACGCATATATAAAAATATCCCAACCTGCTGACCTTAAAATACGTCCGATCATCGCTGGACCTGCATCAAGCACCCAACGACTGAGTAATTTATTGGACATTTTATTGAAACCACTATGCAAATTATTACCCAGCTTCGTAAGAGATGATATGGATTTTCTGAATTATATTCCCCAAAATGTAGACCCAAACACTATTCTCGTCAGTTTTGATGTTACAAGTTTGTACACAAATATCCCACATACTTTGGGACTGGAAGCAGTTAGTTACTGGATAGACAAACATCCGGATATTATAAATGAACGATTCCCAAAGGAATTCATTTTAGAAGGACTGAAGATAGTGTTGGAAAATAACCATTTCCATTTTAACAATGAGTTCTACCTACAAATAAAAGGAACCGCCATGGGAACAAAAGTTGCTCCCTCATACACAACTTTAGTGATGGGATATTTAGAAGATCAACTATATGGAAAAATACCTGAACTGTTTGATGTCGACTTTGCTAACTACATAAAAAATAATTGGAAACGTTACCTAGACGACTGCTTCATATTTTGGACCAGGAGTGAAGAAGACTTAACTAAATTCCATTCACTTCTTAATAACCTCCATGATTCCATACAATTTACGATAGAAAGAAGTCGTACGGAACTTCCATTTTTAGATCTTCTTATTATAAAGAATGGATCGTGTATAACTACAGACTTGTACTGTAAACCCACGGACACGCACCAATATTTGGATTTTAGATCGTGCCACCCATCCCACACAAAACGTAATATTCCGTTTAATTTAGCACGGAGAATTTGTACAATTATTACAGATGAAACCCTACGATGTAGACGTTTGGAAGAATTAAAACTATATTTAAGACGACAAAATTATCCATTAGATCTAATAAACACTGGAATAGAAAAGGCATCCGAAATTCCAATAGAGGACCTAAGAAATCCACGCCATATAGACGACACCGATGATGACGGGAAAATAGCCTTTGTAGTTACCCATAATCCAAGGAACAGAAACATCCTTATGGACGCTAAAAGATTTTATCCCATTTTAGAACAATCGGAAAACATGAAAAGTTTAGTTCAGCCAAATGATATCATAAACAGTCGACGACAAGCACCAAGTCTTAAAAAACTGTTGACCAAGGCCCGTTTTACAACACAGGAGGAAATTCCAACCATTAAAAAATGCGGAGATCCGAGATGCGGAACATGTACATATTTAGAAGAGGGGAATAAAATCCAACTTAAATCAGGAATGGAAATTCGAACCAACTCATCTATGAACTGTAAATCGGAAAACGTCATCTACTGTGCCATCTGTCCGACGTGTAAAGAATATTATATTGGACAAACGGGAAAATTAAATGCCAGGGTTCGTGTGCACAAGCAACAAATTAAAGACCCTAGTGTGCGTAATACACCGTGTTGTGAACATTTCGCAAAATGTGGCAAAGGAATATTTAAGATTTTCCCTTTTTATAAACTTCCAAATGAAAACGAAAATTTACGTTTGGCAAAAGAAGACTATTTTATCAACCTCTTTAAACCCAAACTTAATCGCAAATGATACTGTATATTTTATATTTTGAAATTTCATTTGTATAATGTGTGAAAGTTAGTGCAAGATTTGTACATTAACAATTACGCCAACTTAACGCTACCTACATCTATTATGACGTCACAATGAACTTTATGCTTTTGACGTTACCAGGTAACCTACCTGACATTTGTATAACTGCCTGAAGAGCCGAACATGGCGAAAGCGCTTGCAGTAAATGTTTTGTGATATTTTTGGATTTTTACTTTTAAATATACCAAAAACTGTACCGATTCTTCATTTTGTTTTGAAATTATATATATATATATATATATATATATATATATATATATATATATATATATATATATATATATATATATATATATATATATATATATATTGATAAGTTAAATCCTTGGTACAGTAAAAAATACTTAAATAAATAAAAACAGAATGCTGCAGTCCAAATTAAATAAAATCTTTATTGTTAGCGCTTTCACCCATGTTGGCTCTTCAGACAGTTATAAAAAATTCAAAACGTTGTCAAGAACGTTGCTAATGACGTCGTGATAACTTTAGGCATTATGACGTCACAATGTAGTTTGTAGTAGCGGCTGCATGAACTTTTTCAACGCAGTCAAAGAATGTATAATTAAAGCATAGAAATAAAATAAGTTTTGTGAATTATACATAATGTCATTTGCAATTCAGTTTTGGTTTAAAAAGTCTTATAAAGTAGTCCTCTTTGGTAACACGGGCGATTTCATCCGATTTCCACATTTTGTAGAATGGGAAAATCTTAAATTTCCCTTTTCCACACTCGGCGAAATGTTCTGAACAAGGGGTGCATCTGACAGTTTCGTCCCGTATATGTTGTTTGTGTACCCTCACTCGTGCGTTAAGTTGATTTGTCTGCCCTATATAATATTCGCCACAGGTTGGGCATGTTGCACAGTAAATCAAATTTGAAGATTTACAATTCATATTGGTATTCGGTTTTAAAACTTTCCCGTTTTTAAGTGTAATTTGTTCGCCCTCCTGAATGAAATCACACGTCCCACATACCTATAACCCAATTACGAAATATTCGCCATCCAGAGGAAAACGACGAAGAGAATATTCCATTTGTGATAACTCACAACCCCCGTAACCACAATATTCTCAATTCAGCAAAGCGATTTTTTCCAATATTAGAACAATCTGATTACATGAAAAATCTTCTGGACAAGTCGTCAATTTTTAACAGCAGAAGACAAGCACCAAACCTGAAGAGGATATTAACCAAAGCAAAATTTTCCTCTAGCAACCAGAGTGTCGTCAAAAAGTGTAGTGACCCCCGATGTGGGACGCGTGATTTCATTCAGGAGGGCGAACAAATTACACTTAAAAACGGGAAAGTTTTAAAACCGAATACCAATATGAATTGTAAATCTTCAAATTTGATTTACTGTGCAACATGCCCAACCTGTGGCGAATATTATATAGGGCAGACAAATCAACTTAACGCACGAGTGAGGGTACACAAACAACATATACGGGACGAAACTGTCAGATGCACCCCTTGTTCAGAACATTTCGCCGAGTGTGGAAAAGGGAAATTTAAGATTTTTTCATTCTACAAAATGTGGACATCGGATGAAATCGCCCGTGTTACCAAAGAGGACTACTTTATAAGACTCTTTAAACCAAAACTGAATTGCAAATGACATTATGTATAATTCATAAAACTTATTTTATTTCTATGCTTTAATTATACATTCTTTGACTGCGTTGAAAAAGTTCATGCAGCCGCTACCACAAACTACATTGTGACGTCATAATGCCTAAAGTTATCACGACGTCATTAGCAACGTTCTTGACAACTTTTTGAATTTTTTATAACTGTCTGAAGAGCCAACATGGCTGAAAGCGCTAACAATAAAGATTTTATTTAATTTGGACTACAGCATTCTGTTTTTATTTATTTAAGTATATATATATATATATATATATATATATATATATATATATATATATATATATATATATATATATATATATATATAATTTAAGAAAAATCCAGTGTTTTGGTACAGTAAAATATATCCAATGAAAAAAAGTCAGAAATCACAAATCTCGAAAATCATTTTTACTGTTAGCGCTTTCTGCTATTTAGAGACCTATCCGTCGATTGAACCTTTACCATGTGTGTACAATTTACCACGATAGGAATATTATTAACGGTCTGACCAACAATTAATAATGTTGAAAATATTCACCATTTTCGAGTGTTCGTGTGTTTGATTTTTTTTTTTTTTTATTGTTTGCAAGATTTCTTTTAATTAAAAATTGATCTTTATTCACTATCATCAATTTTTCAGTTCGAATATATTTATACAGACGTTAGGAAATTAGAACTAAAGTTCTCAAAACTCATGTTTCTAACATTTCTTTACAACTCGGTGTACATTATATTCATATATACAGAGTTAAAACATGGGATGA